CTGCGGTTTGAAGAACAGGGAAAAAAACCCTTCTTGGTAAACAACACTAACCAGCCTTGAAAATAAAACATGTATGATTCCAGGGAGCATGTGGTAATCTCGTCTACAAAGAATGTGAACTAAAGTGGGAGAAAACTGAAATGGGACAGTTATTGCAGCACAGTCGGGCTGAAAACCTCTATAAAAATGTTGTTTTCCCGAGAAGTATTTCTAAAATTGCTTCCCAGTGGTTTCCTTCCCTGGGAACCTCCATGGGGGACAGGGAGGATCACATGTTGAGCTGGTTCCATCAGTGGCAGCCCAATAAATTGTGTACAAAATCATTAATAGATGTATTTCTCTTTAGATTTCAAGCTTGAACTGGGTTTTCCTGGGGGAATTTTGAAATAATCGTGGGAGAAAAGCATGCTCTGAAATTCAGAGATATAAACAACCTTGTGAATTCAGCATTTCTTCCTGCTGGGTGGATACTTTTGTTTCTTCTCCCAGAGAAAAGCCTTGCAGTATAAAGAAATTACATTCCGTTCAAAAAGCAGCAAACATTTTAAAAATTGGATTCCCACCAAACTGTCTCAGTGGGGTGACATTACCACCAGCTAAAGCAAGAAAAGAAAGTAATTTCTGTAAATTCTTGTTTTGGGAGTGGATTTCTCTTCCTTACTTGCATAGATTTGGGGAGGAAAAATACCAAAGCTTGCCTTTTTTTTGTTTCTACAGCAATGTGCGTTGGAGGTGGGGCTGTGCAGTGTCATACGTGGGCAGCAAGAATGTTGTAACCATTTAGGCTGGAGGAGTGCCTTGGATCCCAGTACTGTTCGCTGATAGAAACAGGTTTATCATCTGTGCAGGGCAAAGATGGAAAAAGAAACACAAAAATAAAAATCCTGGATAGCCAAAGGGGATAAAATCCCCCTCCTTCTAACACAAGGGGATAGAAAGATCAGATCGTTCTTTATTTTTGTGGTGTTTTACCCCCATGAAAACAGCAGTACACTTTAGTCTCTGGGGTTGGAAAAAAAAGTCACTAACCTGCCACGGTTCTTGGATTATGTTTCATATCCTTCCCAGTTTAGCAGGTAACTACAGGACAAGCCAATAAACAACTATTATATTCCTTTAAGACCATTCTTGTTTTCAAATGTCTTTGCAATCCTTGAGAAATTTCTTAATTCAGAAGTGGGGTGGAACGCAAGAAATACTTTGCATTTTTGGTGCCTTTCCACCACAAAAAGCTTTGCCTGTGTGGTATTGCCCTCTGCTGGGACCGGTGTGAGGAGTCCCACCAGTCCCACAGCAGAGCGTGCTGCTGAGGTTGGTCTCCTTTCAGAGGTGTCCTTCAGCGACAAGGATCTGAATGCTCATTCGCAGTTGCCTTGATCCACATAGCGCTCCTGGTTTGATTTATTTTGTCGACAGAGAATCTTTTATGGACAGGGTTTTGTTTTAATGCAGCTTTAAAAGCATTAGAGGTCTTTGATAATCATTCCTTTTCCAGCAAATATTCTAAGTAACCATACTCGTTTTCATATAGGACCTGCCCTTTGAAGATAGTTGCATCAAACATCCATGCAGAATCGTATGATATGCTCCGAAGTAACAGAAATCTTTTTTTTTTCCCCCCTTAGTGTCACCTGATTCACTATCTGAGACTCAGCCATCACTTGATAGTGCTGAATTATTTGATTTACACCTTTGACAAGCTAAAGTCTGTCACCTCTGAAGACATCAACATCACGGATGCTGTTTTTGATGGTGTCGAAGTCAGAGTGTTCGAACCTCCTGCGAAGCGAGATGAAAGGCTCAAGCGCAGCGTTGTTTACATCCATGGAGGGGGCTGGGCCTTGGCAAGTGCAAGTATGTGTCTGACAGTAATTAAATAGGATTCTGGTCTGATTTTTTCTCCCAGCGGGAGAAGCCAAAAGCTGCTTTTCCTGCCAGGGATGGCAATTTTGCTAAGATGTATCCGAATTCTCCGCTCTGGTAGATCAGCTCTAAGAAAGGAACCGGGAAGATGTTGTGAACACACAGCAAAAATGCATATCTTATCTGCACATGAGCTGTTAAAGGACCAAAAGGTTGATTTTGTTGCATCCTGAGAGGACAAAATAGCTTATTGTTTGAATTCCTGGAATGCCTGGGTGGGCTGTTTGGGCCAGCCCCCTGTTTTCTGTGGTCACGTGCAAAAGTTGATCCTTGGTGATCAGGATCCAGTGGCTACATTTAAGAGTTTTGGCCCATTTTCATACAAAAAATAGCAAAAGAATGAGCTGAACAACATGAGCTACAAACAGTTAACCACTGATCATTCCACTGATCCTGTCCATACAATCTTGATGCATTCTGTGGCTTCATCTATAGAAAAAGAACATTAATGGGGTTCCACAGCAATGACTATTTTGATTGCATTTGACCTGTGCATGTATAAGATACTTAGACCATGATTTAAGTGCAATCTAGGTTCCTAGATATCTAAAATCTGGCCTCCGTTTGCCTTTGGAAATTCCAGTCTTTTTGTCCCACAGTCCCCTAGCAGTTAAAAATTTTGTCTTCCTACATAGGAATTGTGCATCAAGATGGGTTTTCTTAGGCCTGCCTGAGGGATGTTTGTTAGCGTCCTGCCCACCGCATTTGTTCTGGAACAGTTTGCGAGTGACACTTGCTGTGCAAAAAGTTTATATTGAATTACAGCACTTTGTTTGGATGACTGTAATTCAACTGTGTCAGATGCTGTCCTTGAATCCAAGATGCAGAAGTTAATGGCACAAATGTTACAGCTAAATAATAAATTCTAAGACTAGATACTTTAGAAAACACTTAGTGTCTTAGTGTATTTTATAGTACCGGGAATCGACAATTAAGTAACAGGAAAGGAGTAAAATTAAAGAAAATCATTGCACCGATAAATAGGATAGCTGTGATTAATTCTCTCATAAATGAGTAGTTCAGTTGACGTTAATAGGGCAGCTCATTTGAATCAAAGCAAGGGATGCTGTAATAAAATGAACAACAAATGGTGAGTCACACAGGGATAACTGTGTGTGGATGCTGATGCCCCCAAGTCACCGGGCACTGTACGTTTTGCCCAGCTGAGAGAATTGTGACAGGTGGTGTGAAATGACATGCCCCGAGTCACCAAGAAACAGAGCAGAAAGAAAGCATTAGACTGCAGGACTTCTCAAGGCACAAATTACGCTCTTTCTGCTACAATATGTATTTGGCACTTTGTCCGTTGTAAGCTGATTTCATTGATTTTGCTTATATTTGTATCACGTTTATATTTTCTGAGAAGACTTATGTACAGCTTTGTGAATATTGACATAAATGGATTCATGTGTCCCTAACACCACGTTCTTTTGTTCCAGGAACAAGCCTTTATAACAACCTCTGCAGAATCATGGCTGAATCTCTCAACGCTGTAGTTGTCTCAGTTGAGTGAGTAATCTAAAACTGATCGAGTAGTTTTAAGGTATCAGAAATATGTAACCTAGTTCTTTTAGCTTTTCTCTTTTTGCTGGCTTGTGTATAAGGTTTTAATGTGGACAGTGATCCTCTATACCAGTCTGATACTCTTATCCTTTTAGAATTATAACAAATTGGAATGGTATCAAAAATTCATTTGGGTTTCTAATTGTCTTAAAGGTCATTTGAGAAGGCGCAAATGTGGGAAAAGAAAGTAGCACTGAATGCAATTGGAGGAATACTAAAATGCAAATGCTAGTGCATCTTACAATTGTATCTACGTGTAAGGAGGCCAAATGAAACCTGAAGTCACTCAGATGCCAAGTTATGATTCTATAAATACTTGTGAACTTTACAAACAATCAGAAAACCCAAACCAAACGCATTTGGACATGATATGTACCTGAAGGAAAGCTGAACCACATCTCTGTTATCTCCTCCTGTAGCAAGGGGCACTTTTCCCATCCTCAGTGGTCACTCCCCCTGCTACAAGGTATATTTTTAATACTTAGGTATTTAAAATAATATTTAGATGTGTATACATGATATTAAAATGTATATATTAAATCCCCGTCAAGTCTGCCTATAAGCACAGGTCCTAAGTCACATTGAGCATGGGTCAGCAACCTAAAAACTGTCAAATCAAGTTATCCCTGCTCATTAACCAGGAGCCACGGTGGAGTCTGGCAGTTCCCTGCTGCTCTCAATCTCCCCCCGTCCCAGCCATCTCATTTAAGCCTCGTGCTCCACTCGAGAGCGGAGGCCTGCCCGGGTGCCAGACATCAGAGAAGCAGGGCTACGTTTCTAACTCGCTGAACAGTTCCAAGGTAAACAAACCTTTCAGCTAGCTAACTGCAGTACCAAGATGACTCCAACTTGACCGGTACTTTTCCCACCCTTATTGTCAACTTCAGTATTTTCTTTTGCAAACCCAATCACTTGATGGAACTACTCAAGTTTCCCTCCTGCAGCTGATTACTTACCAAGCTCTGTGATCTAATTGCAACTTAATTATATGGAGTTGCTGTTACTCGTTCAATACTTACAGTGTATTTTAAGGGGTTGTGCTTTTCTATTTCTTTATTAATAGAAAAAAATAAAAGTAAAAAAGCAGCTGTTGGTTATTCCATACAAGCAGTGATCACAGTATTGAAAAGTTCCTGATTATTTCTTCTCTGATTTATAGCACTATAATTCTGCCTGTTTCTCTGAGTTATTGTTTACCTCTTCTCCTTAGCCAATATATCTTTCAGTCAAGGCGTTTGTACTCATTTAGTGAAGACTAATTAGATTTCTCATTGGTTTAATTGCACATCTCGCTTTCATGATATATGCACAGTCTGTTACCTCGTTTTGCGAGGAGCTCCCGAAGGACTTTCTCGTATTCCTTTGTGATTGATGCAATATATAAATTGCTTTCTGAACGCAGGTGAGATTTGGAGCTTGAAACACTTTCTGTATAACCTAAGTTTAAAATTTATTCTGCGTAGGAATTCTGCATATTCTGTGATTTGAGATATGAAACTGAAGATTCTGAAGAAAATGTTTTGAATCAGAAAACTAGATTTTGTTTTGCTTGTTTTGCTCGGCTCTACTCAGAATATGTAAAATCTGTTCATTGAAAAGCTACAAAAACAGAAGACATGCTTTGTACCATAAGGCCTAGTAACAGCTCTTGGATTACATATTATTCAGTAAATATGAACAGATTTCTCCTGCGCTGTTATTTAGAAACTGAGAAAATCTCATGAGTGGGACTCAGCTGCTGGCTGTTCCTGGGCAGACGGTTTGCTCGCTGTGCCTCAGTCTCTCTGCCTGCGCAGGGTGTCTGTTCCTGCTCCCCTCCTCCATAAAGGAGAGGAATTACTAAACCTGTTGCATTGGAGCAAAGTGGTATTTGCTTCTTGGCAAGGTTCACTCTCTGTTGAGCACAGGTAAAAATTTGGGAAACAGAACTGCTTAGGTGTTTGGCCCACTGGAATCCATTGGGTGTAGTGTATGACTTACTCTCCCTCCTGCTAATTAAGGTGGGGATTTGGATGAAAACCAGCCTGATTGTAATGACTCCCTTACCAAGGGTGTTTTCGATATTCATTCATTTTTATAATGCGTGATAAAACCCTCTGTTGGGAAATCGTAGGAAAGCACTGCACAATTTTTACTATCTTGGTATTATTCATATTTAGTAGGTTCACATTAATCTTTCAGAATTAGAGCATTAATTATAAGGTTAAGTCTTATGTAAGTATTATACACTTCATATTTTTTCCCCTAATGTTTATGCTAATGAAGTAGTTATTTGCCATCAAGGAATACCTGGTATCCCCTATTATCCTGAAAGAGAGATACATTGAAGACAATAACTGTTTCTCACCTCTTTTCTCTGCAGATACAGGCTGGTACCAGAGGTGTGCTTCCCCGAGCAATTCTATGATGCTCTTCGTGCCACAAAGCATTTTTTGCAGCCTGATGTCTTAGCTGAGTATTCAGTTGACCCAAGTCGAATTGCAATTTCTGGCGACAGTGCGGGAGGAAATCTGGCAGCTGCTGTGTGTCAGCAGGTAACATCCAGTGTCTGTCGTGTATTCCCCAGTTCGGTGATGGCTGTAGGTTGATAGATTTCTTGTGCTGCATCATCACAGGGTGATATCTCAAACCTAAAGACAGAGCAGTGGAAAGCAGGCATCTAGTCACTTTAGAGAAGAAAAATGAGTTGATTGCAACATGAATCACGTATCTTGCTGCAGTTACAAGTTGTTGTGGGCCAGATTTTAAGAGCAAGTAGCTAAATGATTTTTTTTTTACCCCTTTTTCTGGCGAGTTCTTTGTTTTTCCAGGTAGGTAATGAGGTTCATGCATCACTTTAGAGAAGAAAAATGAGTTGATTGCAACATGAATCACGTATCTTGCTGCAGTTACAAGTTGTTGTGGGCCAGATTTTAAGAGCAAGTAGCTAAATGATTTTTTTTTTTACATCTTTTTCTGGCGAGTTCTTTGTTTTTCCAAGTAGGTAATTAGATTCATGCATAATTTATCAATTTAGCTTCCTAATTTTAGGTGCTTGTCTCTGAAAAAATGGTTTTTTTTCTTTCTAATACAAATGAAGGACGAAAAATACAATAAATGAAGCTTAATTCTCCTGTTAAATTGTGTTCCTGTAGCATTTTGCAATTCTAAGGAAATTTCTTCTGTGTATCTGCAGTTTAAATATAATCTGAATTTAATCTAGTAAAGATTTTAAAGGCAGCCTGAAGCAAGTAATGATTCATGGTTGAGTGAAATATTATTATTAGCTTTCTCATATTGCCATAACCATTGGTGATAAGAAAGCAGATACCATATTCAGATAACTAATTATCATGACAACCTTGCAATATTGAATTAGGGTGAAAAAATTAATAAGAAACAATTACACTAAAAGTTTCAATACTGAGGACTGATAAACACGATAGTACCATGTTTTGGAAAAAGCATTCCTAATTCATTTTCCTGGTGCATAATTCTTTTTAAACAAGATGAGATGCGACAGAGAATTAATAAGAAACAATTACACTAAAAGTTTCAATACTGAGGACTGATAAACACGATAGTACCATGTTTTGGAAAAAGCATTCCTAATTCATTTTCCTGGTGCATAAACAAGATGAGATGTGACAGAGAACTCTGTATCTTGTGTAGAAGATGAAGCAGAGACAGTGTTTGCTGATTCTTTTGGTAAAAGAATTAAGGGACAACAAATGTATGATTGATAGGCTCAATTCAAATGCTGAAGGTCGGGTCAAGTCATGGTGAAGCCTTTGCTAGAGAAAATTGTTGATGCCAACAATTTGTATATGCTGAAAGAACAATTAGATAAATTTGTGAAAGAAAAATCTATAAAAAGCCATTAAAAGCAAGAATAGCTCCTTTGATTCAGGACATTTTTCAGTTGCCAATTGTTAAGCTGGGCACTGTGTTAGAGAGAAGCCACTTTGCACTTTTTTTTCTTCTTATACCCTTCAATAAACTGCCACTGGTTTCAGCTGGAGACAGGAGTCTGCCTGAATGGCTGTCCTTGCAAGAGAAGAAAAAGATCAGGCTGCTAATATTTCAGCCAAAAGAGCGACGTTATTTGCCTAAGAGCAGAATTCAGCCTCAAAATTGTCAGATGAATGGTTGCTTGCATGAAGTTATAAGCTGATATTGTAATGTGGATGTTCTTTAAAATCCCAGTTATGTCCTGTATTTTTCCCTTCAGCTTAGCAAAGATGAGCAATTGACCATCAGACCGAAACTGCAGGCTTTGATTTACCCAGTCCTTCAGGCGTTTGACTTCAATACACCTTCTTATCAGCAGAACATGAATATGCCCGTTCTTCCTCGTTATGTCATGATCAACTACTGGATAGATTATTTCAATGGTAATTATGACTTGGCTCACTCACTGCTGATTAACAACCACACTGCTCTTGACGTTGGCCAAGCTCTGTCTTTCCGAGGACGTCTGAACTGGACATCTCTGCTGCCATCGTCGTTCAAAAAGAACTACAAGCCTGTCGTACAAACCACAGGCAAGGCTGAAATCATCCAGGAGATACCAGGGCTGCTCGATGTACGAGCAGTCCCGCTCCTCGCAGAAAACGAAACGCTGCAGCTGCAGCCCAAGACTTACATCCTGACCTGCGAGAATGACGTCCTGCGGGATGACGGGGTGATGTACGCCAAGCGCCTGGAGAACGCCGGCGTGGAGGTCACGCTCGATCACTTCGATGACTGCTTTCACGGCTGCATGATATTCACCATTTGGCCGACCGATTTCTCGGCAGGCGTTCAGACCAGGAACAGCTATATCAAATGGCTGGATGAAAACCTCTGAAGAGAGAATCTCTCCAGAAGACACAGGGTACGCAGCTCTGGGGTCTTCTTGCTAAAGAGCAAACAAGGATCAAGTGCACTTTTTCCAGTTCTGACTTCACCCGTTCAGCTGCAGCTGCTGGGGTTACACACCAGCAACTGCAGCGTCCGCTAGCTCGATTGGCCTTACTCAGCAAGTATTTTGAGAAACACTTTTTCAAACTTTGATTTTGGTTTTTTTTCTCCCTTCTTTCAGATAAGAGTTGCCACACATAAAAAAATGTTGAGCAGGGCAGTCAGCATTCCTGTAGCATTCTTAACTGGCTGCAACCTTCAGGCTTTGACTCTTAATTAGGTACAAAGGCCTTGACTTTAAAATGATGTGAAGTAAAGCCAAACACCTACATCTACATCTGAATATGTAAAAAAGGGAGGTAGTTTTCAACAGTGGTGAGCACCTGATGTCAAAGAAAGTGTGAGAAATCTTATCTTTGGCAGCAGAGCCCTGCATTTGAATGTCAAGCATGCATTTAAGTGTTGGCTTTTAGGCACATAGACAAATGGCTCACTTAATTTTATTTAAAAAAACCCCTCTTCTAGGCAGATAAGATGATGTTAGACAAGTCTTTTAGCCAAATACCTAATTCAGCTTTGGAATTCGGTCTTTATTGTCTTCTAGTTATTTATACTTTGTAAAACCACAGGACTAAATATATTTTCAATAAAAAGTATTATTGCATACATACAAATAGGAGAAAATATTATGTATAGCAGCAGAATCCAGGTTGCTTATGTGAGTGAACTTCAAAGCTGTCTATTGTTTGGCTAAAGAACGTGACTTCATCTGTGTTTAAAGCCTCACCTGTATGACCTCCTTACAGAAAATACTGAGCTTTCTAAAAATAATCTGCTGTGTGGTTTGCACTAATGTTTGTAATTAATGGTAGAAGGTTTTGTTCACTTATTTTTCTTTCGTGCTTGTAGAGTTTATTACATTTTATGCTTCCTGGAAGGAGGGAAACAAGCAAGCAGATGTGGGCTCTAATCTGTATGGAAGATTTAAATCGGAGCTTTGTGGCTAAACTTTGTCTGTCTTCTAGACTGATCCAAAACTTGAGGTGAGATGATCTCACTGTTGTGTAACAAATCTCTGCAGTTTGAGCCAGTCTGTAAAAGTCAGACAAGCAGGACAGGGAAGTGAAACCACTTGCAACACTGTACAGTGTCCAGGAAGCTTACAGCTTTCAGAAATGAAGGTTATATCAAATTCCCAGTGTTTCCAGGTGAAGGAGAGAAAGGCTGACCCGTGACAAAATGAGTGGATTAAATTCATCCTCCACTTTACCACAGCCTTCCTGTGGGACCCCAGGAGAGCGACTTAATCTCCTCATGCCTCACGTTCTTTTTCTGCAAGAGAGAGAGTGGTAATTTCCTACCTCACAAAGGAGCTGTGAAGCTGAATTCGCAGGCATTGGCGAAACACGCGGATGTGATGGTGACTGGCAGGCACTCAATGGCTCCTGTGGCTTTGACTTTTTTTGACTTTCCATCCTTCTCTGATAGCTGGCTCTGAGCAGGTTGCCCCGTGACGGGAGATGCTGTGAGGCCGCGAGTCCTCCTGGGCAGTTCACTCATCTCTGGCCCAGTTCCTGTGAAAATACCATCAGGTGAGGCTTCCTGGCCCTTGGGAGAGCATGATAGAGGCAATTTCTTAGGGCAGGATTCTGAAAAAAATACTGGTAGCTCAAACTGTCTTCTGTCATTTAAAATATGTACAGATCAGTCCACATTCACTGCTATTTAAATAAGAGAATGGCTTTGCTGGATCGTTGCTTCCTAGAAATACCAGGTTGTTAATGTGGTTGGATGTGTTAAGAAAAGCTATTAATGAGACATGGCCTTGATGTAGGCTCAGTCATGCGGGCTGAAATTAATTTCTGGGCATAGGTTCATGTGGAGGTTACCAGCCAAAGCTTTTTCAACAGTGGCCCAGATTCTTCTTCCATTTAGATCGTTACAGAGACTCAGTGGAGTTAGAGCAGTTGAGTGACAACCTGAATCAGAATAAATTTTAGTCAAGATATCCAATTACCACTGTGGGGGAATTCAAACTTTTTTCTGAATTTAAACTCTCTTTCCTCCTTTCCCCCATAAACACAACCTAAGTGTAAATTATATATCTATGAAAAACAGACAGTAACCAAAGTTAAGTCCATTCTAAAGACAAAGATCACTAATCTTGAAGAATGGTCTGCTCCAGCATCCTTTCCACTGTATGGAAACAGCTCCATTTACGTGACATTTAGAACCATGACTTGCAGAGACAAAAAATACCAGTACACTGGGCTGTAAATAACAGGCATCTTCCTGGCTTTCCCACTTCACGAGCAAACTCATGTCAGATGTAATTTATATCCACCTGCTGTCATTAAAAGTAACTGTAGTACTGGAAAAAAAATGGTTAATATTCCTATAAATTCAATAATAATTAAGTTTGCTTCAGATCAGCATTTGTTTATGGCTAAGTTATAAGTTCCTGCTGTGAAGCTACAGTATATTTGCTGCTGGGTTGTTTTTTGTTGTTTTTTTTTGACTGAAATGGAGAGCTTGAATATATATTCATGAAGTTGGCTGTAAATTTCTTTCATGCACTGAAGCACATTAAAGTCTTGGCACAAGAAATGGTAGTGAGTGTACAACTGGACTGGATGTGTTTACTAAGGCATCGCCAGCTTGATGCGACATCCAAGATCGCAGCACAACTTGGGTGCAGCGTTACAGGATTAACTAGGTCTGTCAGAATATCGTGAGTGCTTTTGTCTTGCAGCTGTGTGGTTTAAGTACGCGATAGCTGCAAAGATACGCAGTGGATGCCATCACATATAAAAAGAGGTCCAAATTCCAGCTATAAAAAGACATTTTAGTACAAAGCTGCACAAGACACTTGATTTAAATTCAGTGTAAACCTTGAAGTAAGGTTTCCTTCTATTTTACTTTGTTCCCCTTTGCATGCAGTCCCCCCAACCCCAAAGTTGAACGCTCAGGGTTGTTTCCAGCTGAGCTGCTGGAAGCTCCTCCAAACCAAGCACTGACTCGCTCAGCCGGGCAGGCAGGTGTGGTTATAGGCAGCCGATGCCTGCCAGCAAGAAGTCCAAGGTTAATGCCTGTGACACCACCTCGATTTGTTCATGCCTTTAGTCCTACATCTCCTGAAGTGTTTCCCTGGACACACCTAGCATCCTTGGTTATGTCACAGAGCAGTTTAGGGCCCTCTGCAGGATCACAGCAAGTATTTGTAATGCTATTTCAACTGTACGCAGTAAAAAGGTAGTCTTCTAAAGCAAGATAGCCAATAAATTTGTCTACTTTTCATTAAATCAACAAGTGTTGTAACAAATACATGCCCCGCCACAGCTTCTACAATTAGACTTTATCCATTACAAGAACATCTTGTCCCTAATGGCTATAAAATCTTTCAAATGTAAGCTTTACCAAAAAAAAAAAAAAAGGCACTCATATAACAGAACCTGTAGTCATTTTTATCCTACTTTCATAGACATAAGAACTGTATTGACAGATTCCCAGTATCTTGGCCAATATTCACAGGAATAAATGGAGGCTTTGTCTCCCTGGCTTAGGACCTCTTAAGGGATGGGTGTTTGTTAGGTATTTCTGAAAACCCAGACCTGTTTAAAGACATTTCGCAGTGCTTAAAATTACAAATAAGTTGAATTTCCTAACCTTCATCTAAGTAATTCCAAAATTGCATCCCTAGGCAAAGCAGAAAGGCCATTGTGGATTACAAGTCCTACAAACTAAAAAGAAGTGCTTTATCTTTAAAACATTATTTGTTAGTGATTGGGTCTCCACATATTTTTAATTGCTTCCCAAACTTTATTAGGAACTTTCTTGAATAAAATCATTAGAAGTAGGTTAACCTGTGTTAAACCTTTTAAGCTGCTGTGATCTGTAACAATGATGTTAAAAAACCAAAACCAAACGAGCTGGTTTGATGTTCTCTTATTTATGATGTTCAAAACCCCCAAGTACAACATACTTGATGTGAATGCATTCACTGTTTTATGCATGACCAGTTTTTGCTTCTTTCCCAGTGCAGGGGAAAGGTCTTGTAAGATCTAATTAGCAAGTGTGACTGAGATGTGGTATCAAAATGAAGAACAAATAAAAAAAGTGAAATGTATCTGTGATGACTTTTTTCTTTCCCTCCAGGACCACTGATTTTATTTTCTAAGGTGCAGCCTTTCCAATTAGAGTTTTCAGTGAGCAGCAGTCAGCGAAACAGAACGGGAGACCTCAGAGTTCCCGAAGAAATGCTGAACCAAAGCCAAGGTCGTTGTTTTCAAGGCAGGAAACCTCGCCTGTGTCCCCGTGGGCTGGGAGGGTGACCTCCTCATACTTCATTTCTGCCAAATTAACTAATGGTGACCACATGTCCCAGTGTTGAATAGTGGGTAGTACCTGCACTTGTGCTGTTCTTTTCTTTCGAGATAGACAGCAGAACTCATGTGCTCCATTCTGGTCTATAAACACATTTTTTTTATATGTTTATCGATCATGTATATGTTTCCAATCTCTTTTAGCCAGTGGAAGCCCTGGTTCTGTTTTTGTTCCTATTTACCTTCCTTTCACATCCTTTCTCTCTGAACTGTTGCCATTTTCTTCCCCTGCTCTCTCATTTATTAATGGTCACCACAGCATTGCTTTTGAAATATTCTCATGTAGGAGTTTGCTGGTTTGTGATCCTGTGACCTTCACAGAACATAAAGTTTTCCTTTTGAAAAAAGGTGCTGGGTAAAAAAAAAAAACTTCAAAGGACTTACTTATAAGCCTATTTTTAAGTCAGCAGGAGTTTGCATTAACTTGAGCACATTAAAAACAGCCTGGGCCTTATAAAATATTTTTTTCCAGTTATGTTTTCTTATATTTAGTAAAAAGTCTACCCATCGGGTCTTGCCAAGGCCAGGGCAGTGCCTCCGAGGGCCAGGTGCTGGTGCAGGAGGA